AACAAATGATCGGCCAGATTTAGTTCTCATTTCTCCTAAGAGAGTGTTCTCACATGAACTCTCCCCTATATATATATATATATATATATATATATATATATATATATATATATATATATATATGTATGTATGTATGTATATAATATATATATATATATATATATATATATGTGTGTGTGTGTGTGTGTGTGTGTGTGTGAGATTAGGAATCATGTGAGAAAACCATCTTAGGAGAGAAATGAGAATCAATCAAGGCCCTTGGTTTCTAAGATGGTTTATATTAATCTGATTACTCGTATAAGGCTAGAACGGTCATTCTTTCCTCTTTCCAAGATAAAACCGTAGGCTATGTTTGAATATCTACCAGTTATAATTATTATTTCCACTATTTTCGTCCGTAGTTTTAAGATCTATCTTCATCCCTCTTTACAGCGTCTCCCACCTCACAGCCATCCACAATCATCTCCACTTACCCTCTACTCTTTGTCTTTCATCTGATCTCTCCATCATTCTTCATCATCGTTGAATTTCAGATTTGGAATACAAGGGTCATCGCTGAAGAATAAATTCCTCCATCGTCGTCGAGCTTCGGGTTTCGAATTGACACGCCATCGTCGAAAACAAATTTTCTTAACAACTTCATCTTCTCTATATGAATCAGACTGGTGTTTTTAAATTTCTTCAATTCGTAATTTATCTTTTGATATGTAATTAACTTTTCTGCTTATTTTGTAAATTCAAAATTTTACAAATTTTCTTAACAACTTCATTTTTTATGATTATGCTCCACAAGTTTTATGCTGCACAGTTTACTTGATGCACTTTACTTCATTTTTTGATTATGCTTCACAAGTCTTGTAAGTACACACGCACTAACACAACTACATGTTGCACTTTTTCCAATGAGTACGTGTTTTGCAATGCATCATGAAATTATTAATTACCATACCACATACTTTTGATGCATTTGGAGCATGTAAATATGACGTATTTATCACGTCATTTTTAGAACGTTTTTGAAGGAGTATGTTCTATCATTCATATTTTACTCACCCAAGTGCACAAACACGTTGCACTGCTATTTTATTATTATGCTCTATAAGTTTTATATTCAATCATAAGTTATATATGTTGCACTTTTTAATGATTATGACTACACTGCAATGGATTCACCAAAAAAGGAACATAACAAGATTAACCATCTAAGTGGCATGAACGATATATGTTGTCCCAACAACAAGGCCTTAAAGCGGCATATGTGGAGTGCATGCCGATAAGAAGACACCATGACAATGGAACAATTATGATGCGTTCGAGAGAAAAAGTGCATTTCATTTTGTAAAAAGTGCTTATGTAGAAAGTGATATAGGAGTGCTCTTGTATATATATTATGCACATGATTACGGTGCATTTCATCGAAAAAGTGTTGTTATATAATTTAGAAAGTATGATTTAATAGTGCACTTTTCTATATAATTAATGCACATGCTACTATGCTAGTTTGTTTTATGGTAATGCGTGCACATGATAGTTGCTAATTCACACCCTTGTATATGTATTTTTATTTTATCTAAATGCACTCCAGTATAGAATAGCCACACTTTTATTCAAAATGTTATGCAACATTAACTTAATGCACATTATATTTTTATATAATGCACATTACATTTGCACTCCATTAAAGAATATTTTATTCAAAGCTATAATGCAAAAATTTGACAAATTAAAGCTTAATCTTTATGATGATGTATTTAATTTGGGAACAATAAGTGAATAATGCAAAAAGTAAAAAAAAATAAAGATGAAGAGTAATTTAATTGTCGTAATTGAAAGAAAGTATGTACAGTATTTTGTAAAGGAATACTTGATGCACTATTAGTTCATGCGCATTGCACTTTACGTATCTTATGGTACACTTTAGTTGTAAGTTTTCTTACCTTTATATTATTATTATGACAAAATCTTGTGTATATATGATGAATTAATACTTTCTATATTTGAAATAATGATTTATTATAATTTTGTTAAGAAAAACATTATACGAATTTGAATGTAGGCATGTGCAAGTTAATAGTGGTGTTTGATTACAAAAATGCCCTCCAACCAAAATAATAAATGAAAAGGCATTATTATCATTTAATAACTTCCTTTTAAACTGCCGAGAGATTAGCTATGCGTGGCTTTGTGATGTGCATCCGATTAATCATATCGAGAGTCAAGATTTGTTCTCATTTCTCTCCTGGGACTCCTTTCTCACTGGAACCTTCTCCTATATATATATATATATATATATATATATATATACATACATACATATAAATAATTATATATGAATATAAAAAAATGAATATACATTTACAAAAAATGAATATGTATCTAATTATTTGCATATCTTTTTTACCTACTTATTCCTTACTTACATAGATTAATCTTTTATGTTACAATATAAAACTTCTAAAACTATTCGGCAAGGATAGCATGGTCTTTCTAATCATATATGTTGATCATAGAGAATGATATCCCCTCATTAAATGAAATGAGGGTACTTGCGTGTTTAGAGTGCGCAACAAGGATAGCATGGTCTTTCTAATCATATATGTTGATCATAGAGAATGATATCCCCTCATTGAAGTTCGTGAAAGAATGGTCACCCAAAATCTTCATGAATATCTTTTTGTTTCTGGTAGACAGAAAGAACTAGTAGAATTTAATTATTCTAGCACTAGTTTCATAAGAAAAACTACGAGTCACAGTCAGTATATGTTTTAAGTCTCAATGTAATAGTAATGCTGCAAGAGTTGCAAGTAAGAAACTATTGTAAATTCGACAACTAGAACCTAGTAAATTGTAGCATTTGATGCAACATAGGTAAGCGTTTAGATACATTAGTTCCTTAAAGAAATAGGGGTAGTTCCTAGTGACAGTTATCCAATAATTGTTATTGTGACTGTACCGGTGCATTTGCACAAGCTAAGGAACCAAGATGCAAAGTAAGGAACTAGAAAATACCTGTGTGCTATCATGTTTTGAGAACAAATAGCAAGAGGAAATGTTGCAATAGAACACCTTCCCGCAGAGGACAATTTGGCTGGCCCATTCACTTTGAGATGTGAGAAACATACTAGACTTTTGAGAGTCTAGGTGTTAGACGCATTGGTGATTGGCACTAGGCCAAGTGGGAGATTGTTAGTATATATGTCCTAGCGACAATCACTTTTTAGAGATATATGTACTTGATCACATTCAGTTTTATATATTTGATATATACGGTATTACACATCGATGATTAAGTATTTCGATTGTCAATATCTTATTCATAATTGTGTTCCCTTGGACTTATGTTGTCAATAAGTAAGTGGGAGCTTATATGATATAACATAAGGTTCTAAAATAGCCCCAATCAATGATCATCAAGAATGAGATATTGATGATATGCGATAAGATTGGTATGTGGACTGCATCATACTTTTAGAAAGTATAGTTGATCTCACAACTATGAGTTCCTGTAATTCATGATGGTCATATAGATATTTTAGAGAATATTGGCATACCCACCGAGAAACCATTTGATAAGTTCTATTCATGTGTCTATGAGATTATCGGCGTATAGAGTAGTGTAATAGTCCTCCGACTTGAGGTCAATACGTACTACATGTGCGGAGTGATGTACTTTGACCATGACCAACGCTTGCACTCCCATCGGGGTAGATACGGCATGTGTTGGGTGCATCACGAAGCACATGGAGTAGTAGTTGAGCCAATAAAGGATTCATTCCTCATAATAGATTAAGAGAGAACATTCTACGTCTCATATATAGATGGATCATAAAGTCATTGGCCAATGCAAAAATATATTCGTTTTGGATATCGAATATGATCGTAATGGATCATCTAGAAAGATTGAGAGACAGAGACTGAGTTATTGGAATAGACACAATATCATGTTCTAGACTTAGTTGAATGTTCGCTGAATGAAAGGACCGTATCACTATAAGCTCTATATTACAGGGAGTTTGTATAGTCCTCGCAAACGTCCTTATATATTAAGTTTGTCTGGAGAATCGTCTAGGAATTCGCTAAGACCTTAATTTGATTAGTGCTTAATATATAAGGCCCTATGGGTCACACAACAAGTGATTATACCTTCCGATTGAATTGTTAGAAGGAATTAAATATTATTAATTGGATTAAATAATATTTAATTCGTAATACTGAAAATGAATTAAATATTAATTAGATTAAACATATTTAATTCATGAAGCTGAAGGAGAGTTCTATTTGATAGAATTAATTAAGTAAGATAAATTAGATTTATCATACTTAATTAAGATGTATTTATTATTAAATAAAGTAGATATTTTCTTTTGTAATTTGGAATTAAAAGAAAATTAAATAAAATAAATATTAATATATAATAATTAGAAAGTGACGTGCAGCCACATCTCAATTATTATTATTATTTTGTTTTGTTTTATCTACTTATTTAATTAATTAGGAGTATTGGTCCTAGTAGGATTAGAACTCATTAATTAGAAAGACTTTCATTGTGATTGGGAAACTAGTTTCGAACTAGTATAAATACATTCTTCTCCTTCATAATTTGTAGACCAGTTTTCAGATTCAGTATTAACAGTTTATTTCCCTGCGAAGAGATTTCCTAGCCTTTCTCTTAGGGAGATCTAACCGTTCTTTCGGGAAGGAGAAATCACGTGGATACCAAAGGTCAAGGATTATCACCGCTAGGATGGAAGATCTGTAAGTTCTAACTCAGATCTGTTATTATTATCATATTCGTTATTTTGTCATAATCAGGGAAGATCTGTTTGGAAAAATTTTAAACTTCCGCTGCCGTACTTTCAAGGTACGTTACATCAATTTCCCAACAATTAATAAGCTAAAAATAGTAGTTACCAAACAAACTCTCGATCATGAAATTAGTCACAATAATTTTAATACTCGTATCATTTTCATTCATAAATTTTGTGAGCAATACTTTAAAATGAGTATATACTTTATTACTCCATAGTCTGGAATGGATGTGTAAAAATGTCAACATTAAAATGGTTTCGAGATTCCCTCAATACTCTTTAATAAAGTGCTTGAACCTCTGGATTTCATGACTACCGCCACATTCAAAGCACTCTCGTATCTCCTTCCCTGCGCTCTGTTTCGCCGATCGCCGGAGACATGGCTTTGTGCGTGACCGACACGGCCCATGCCCTGTCTTGCCGGGACAGCAAAGCCGCAGCACACCTCAAGCTTATTTCCGTTTTTGTAATCTTCTTCACGAGCGTTATTGGGATATCCTTACCGGTCGTACTCGCCCGATTGTTTCACGGAAAACCTGTTTACGACAAGGCGATTCTGATCATCAAGTGCTTCGCCGCCGGCGTGATACTTTCCACATCGCTCGTGCACGTGCTTCCTGACGCCTATGACGCGCTCTCCGACTGCCAGGTGGCGTCCAGGCATCCGTGGAAGGACTTCCCCTTCTCCGGCCTCATAACTTTAATTGGCGTTCTGACGGCACTGTTGGTTGACTTGACGGCGACTTCTCACGTCGAGAGTCATGGCCACGGGAATCGGAACCTTAAAGTCACGAAGGATTACGCGCCTATTGGAGCGAGCGAAGAATTGGGAGTGGTGGAGAAGAAATTGGGGGTGGAAGAGAAAGAGGTGGAGCTGGGGATGGCGGCGGCGCCTGTTGAGGAAGATGAATCAGTGAGGCTCAAGCAAAAATTGGTGTCCCAAGTTCTGGAAATTGGGATAATATTTCACTCTGTGATCATCGGGGCGACGATGGGAATGTCTCAGAACCAGTGCACCATACGGCCGCTTGTGGCGGCTTTGGCATTTCACCAGATCTTTGAAGGGATGGGCCTCGGTGGTTGCATTGCACAGGTAAATTTTTGGTTGAAAATTTGGTTCATTTTATTCATTTTTTAGGTTAGTAAGTTGATATCTGCAATATATGAATTGGAATCATACAATTTCCATGTTGAATTAGAATAATCAAACCTGGTAAAATGCCTTCTTTTAGTTTGTGCAAAAGGAAAATGGAAATGAACCATACAATATTATTAGTTTGAATTGGAAATGAACCCTCAGTACCGGTAGGCGTAGCTCAACGTGTACTGAGAGAGTGCCACAAGGGTTAGGTCCCGGGTTCCCTCACTCTCTATCTGTGAGATTGTGATTATAATACAATTTGGTTCATTCCAACGTACCGTCCGGTCGGTGTTGAGGACCCTCAGGGATGGGATGGGGTGTCATCCTTTTTTTGGAAATGAACCCTCAGGCCTCAGTAGCCTGATACTTCACAGTGAAGAGAATTATTACCGGGTGAAGTTGAATAGAGTATATATTTAGGTGAGTACCACGGTACCTCACAAATAAATGAGGGTATCATACTTACAATACATTTGAACGATCCAAGTCATTATCTCATCATTTATTAATATTTAGTCGGTAGCTGGAGGGTAACATAATTTGTCATATATTTAAATTACTTCGTATTATATTTATGTAAAGAGAATGACTACATCGGCGAATGTGGCTTTGAGAGGTTAACAATTTCTTAAAATTTAAACTACTGAGCCACTCAGTTAGGTACAAGAAATTTATCAGTTAAAATTTGGATTAGTTACAAATATGAGTAAATTTCTCTGTATAGTGAGTTCTTTGCAGACTAACATCAATTGTTTCTCTTGTTAGTGTTAGTCATTTTCAACTTGTAGTAGTCTTTTATTGAGGCAAGAAATGTTAATTAAGTAGATTTCCTATCTCTTCACCACAATTGCTTGGTATTTCCTTTGTTTTGCTTATGAGGGAATTAGATTATTAGATAGAGGTTTGTTTGAACTCAGAAAAAAGTAGTCCTTATCTTATCTATAACCTCAATGCTAAGTTTATGTTACACATGCTATTTGCAGTACTCTTTTTTAAAAAATGTAGTACTCTTCTATGGTTCTCGAATACAGCTACAACCTATTTTTTTGAAAAAAAACCAGAATTTTCTAAATACTCAAGTCCACAAACAAGAAAACTTAATTCATCTGATGAACCTGCTAAACTCACCGTAAACCCCCATGCGATCAGATTTATCTAGGAACCTGAATTCTCCAAACCAGGTTACACATTTCTGTCCGGAACCAGAAACATAAGTCATCTGTTGTAACCCCCCCCCCCCCCCCCCCCTCAACCCACCCAGAAACAAGAAAGTTGAATTTAAGATGGTTTGTCTCAAGATGGAGAAATATTAGAAATAGTTGCTCGACCTCCACCTTAAAGTCGGCGCGCAGCTACCACTCGACTTTAAAAAACCCATAGCTTGCCATTTGATCAAATTGCCCCCTGCCCCCCCTACCCCCCTAAACCTAACCGTCGTCCATTTGCCTCCGCCTATCCACTCCAAGTTGCTTCTAGTGTCTAGCTCTTCCACCACCATTAAACTCAAATTTGCTTGGTGGGATTATAGGCTTGGAATTTTGTTTTTGAAGGGGTGATGGGGGTGCAAGTTGGCTATGTTACCACTGGCCAACTATAAAGTGTTGTGTCTCCCCATAACATGCTAAAGTGATTTATGTGGGTTATTAATCATTTTGGAAAGATACCTGCAAATTGATGTGGGAAGCTCGGTAATGTGTGGGATTCTAACTATGAACTTTTCAATTTTCCTTTTAGGTTCCCAATTCCCATTTCCATTGAATATTTTTTATTTTTTAGTTGTTACTGGTTAGTCCATATATAGACCAGCTGCAGAATTATACCAAATGTATAGTTTTAATGCATAATGGAACTATGGAAGATGAATGTGCATGGTGGTAAATGATACTGCTTAGTACTACAATCAAGATATCATTTCATTTCATTTTCATTTACCCCAGTGCCGCAAAAACTCCCACCTACGGTGGGGTAAGGGGGGGTCAGATGTACGTAGTCTTACCTCTGTACTAAAGCACAGAGAGACCGTTTCCGGATGACCCATAGTGAAAATCGCGTCCAAAATTGCATGGACTGACTGCCGCTCCATAACAAAGAAGCGCAAACAGTTTAGTGAGCCATTTTGCTTTATTCAATCATAATCTCAAGCCAAAAAATAATGAATCTTTGACTCCATTGCAAATGATGAAAATTAGTGGTACAATCAAGATGCAGAAAAAATAAGAAAAGTACAAGAACATGGGGCATGCACTTCATCCATATCAAATGATCAATGTATCCTTACCTGAATGGATAAGTGATCTTATATTGTAAGGGTAATGTTAATTTTACTGTGAGAACTTACACCATGGCATAGCAAATAATTTTCCTGTAGCATTACTAACTTCTTTCCAAAAGAAACTACAAAAGGACATGTTTTTATAATCTTGTTATATGAAAAAAAAGTCATCATTCATCATCATCATTACCCCAGTGCTGGAAAGGCCCCCACCTATGGTGGGGTAAGGGGGATTGGATGTGCGCAGTCTTACCCCTGTACTATATATGGAAAAAAGTATCACAAATAAATTTCTTATCTTTAAGGGAAGGGGGGTGACATTTAAAATCAATGTTTCAATGGAGGTGTCTTGAGCTGTGCTAGAATCCCACACCGGAAAAATTTGAATCAACAAAATGCAATAGTAAGACATGGGCTACTACTCCTATCAGGTTTACCTTTTAGGATGAGGTAACCCCAGATCTTAACATGTTATCAGAGCCAAACCGATCCATAACCATGGTGTGGGTCCCTTTATGAAAAATGACAACACGATTAAAAAATGACAATGATGAACCGACGAAAAAATGACTGATGGCACGATCCAGACAAAGTGTCTGGTCATGAGGAGGGGTGTTAGAATCCCACACCGGAAAAGTTTGAATCAACAAAATGCTATATTAAGACATGAGCTACTCCTTCTATCAGTTTGACCTCTTAGGATGAAACCACGGGTCTTAACAAGCTCTTAACTACTCATGCTGAATGATAAGAAGCAAAACCGAATCTCCATTTATATACTTATTTAATTTTCATGGATGATACTCTGTATTTGTAAGTGGAATCCTAGAAGGATTACTTACTTTACATAAATGAATGCTTATGTGATGAAATCATGTGCAGAATGGGTACCTTAATAATAACATTAAGAATGAACACTCCACAAGAAGGTTATGATTTTATTCATGTATGCAAGGGGAAGGTGTTAACATATTTTAGTGTTTTTTATCTCTATAAGTAACTCCCATGTGTGCACTTCCTTGGCAATTACGACAGGCGGGTTTTAGTATAGGAACAACAGCTTACATGAGCTTCATGTTCTCAGTAACAACCCCAATGGGAATAGTATTGGGTATGATTGTCTTCTCGGTTACCGGGTACGATGACAGCAGCTCAAATGCCCTGATTCTTGAAGGTTTGCTTGGTTCCTTGTCCTCTGGTATACTTATATACATGGCGCTTGTTGATCTCATAGCTCTCGACTTCTTTCATAACAAGTTGATGAGTTCTGAACCATTTTTGAAGAAGGCATCTTTTGGTGCCCTTGTTCTTGGCTCTACATCCATGTCAATTCTTGCCATATGGGCTTGAATCTCTAGGTGTCTAAATTATGTATTTACATATGCCCGATTAACCCTTTGGGTATTAGAATTAGGCATGTATCAAATGTTGAGCATATGTAAATTTTCTTTGGATACTATGATAATCCATTCATCCCGCATATATATTGAAAGTATATTTTAGTGTTTCGTTTGAAAACTTTTAGCTGACAATGTCTAGTATTTCAAAATACCAAATGTGGTTTCGTCTGAAAACTTGCACAAGCCTTCCAAAAAACAAATCTTTATAGTGGGTCTCCCAAATTTAATTGTCTCATTGTTTATAGTTAACTCATTTCATTCCCTTCAAATAAATGTCAGTTTTATGCCACTAATTTTACCAAAATGGCAATTTCTTACTAGATTTTCACTTTTCTTTTTCTTCCCATATTCTGAGTTTTTTTATATATTTGAATACCACTATTTATTCTTTTAATGTCATAATTCTTATGAAACTGCCACATATTTAATTTATTTTTTTACTATATTTGGGGATTAGGGGTGGACTCGGGCCGGGCCAACCGGCCCGGAACCGGACCGGCCCGCCACTGTGCGGGCCCGGACCGGCCCGGAACCGGACCGGCCCGCCACTGTGCGGGCCCGGACCGGCCCGGGAACCGGTTCGTTGGGCGGTTCGGGCCACCCGGCCCGGTGGATTCTCGGTTCGGGCTCGGGCCCTTCAAAAGGTGAACCGGCCCGGCCGGTTCGGGCCCGGGCCGGGCCAATTTTAATTTTTTTTTTGAAATTTTTTTGAGTTTTTGGGTTGGGCTGGTTATTTTGGGCCATTTGAGGTGGTTAGGGTTGGTTTGGGGGTGAGGGGGAGGGGTGGGGGTTAACTAGGAAAAGCCCAAAAAAAAAAATATACCCGAGGCCCGGCCCGGCCCGGACCCGGGGGTTACCCGGGCCGGTTCCGGGCCTCCCCTTCTTGAACCGAGGCCCGGCCGGGCCCAGGCCCGAACCGGGCCCGAACCGGCCCGAGTCCACTCCTATTGGGGATGCCGCATGTGTTTCACATCTAGATGTCTTACTCTTATCAGAAAATGTCATTCTTATGTCATTTTCTAATAAGATGGCAATCTCGTCGGAAATGGGAAAGGAATCGCCGGATAGTGGCCGCATCAGGGACGGTGGCGGGCGGTGGTGGCGGGCGGTGGCGGCGGCGGTTTGAGTGAAGGGCGGCAATGGCGATGGTTTCCTATTAGATGGCTACGACACTTTTGTTAGAGGGTGGCTACGTCTGGAGGATAGCCGTTGTGATAGTGAGATTAACTCAGAGTTTTATATTAAGGGTAATTTTGTCAAGTTTCAACACTTTTAGTCCTATAAAACATTGAAGTCCTACTTTTCCACTTTCTTAATGTTTTAGTCCTATTTAGGTAAATCTCTCATATAATTTGAGGAAGTTCCCCAAACAAGACTAAATGAAACTTAAATTACTAAAATAGGAGTATAACTCTAAAATTTTCCTGGAGTAGTTTTTCAATCCCACACTTGCTTTGTTTTAATACAACTTATATTTTCATTAACAATTAAAATATAAAAGTAATAACATAACTTTATTTATAATAAAAAATGTAAAAAAATATCAAAAACAAGAAAGTAAATATTAAATACAATAGAAAAAATACAAAAAATATAAAATTTAAAACACAAACATAAACATTAAAATAAAAAATAAAAAATGTAAAAAGAAATGCAGCCTCTATTTGCTACCGCCTCAATCATCTCTCAACATGTATTAGTAAAGTCATCTTGATATCAGTTTTAGTGAAAATTTTGACATTTTCAAAGAATAATGATCATCTTCGTGACATTTATAAAATGAAAGTTATGTAACCAAATACCCCTATTAGCTATTTCATCTTGTCACAATTATTAATCAAAACAATCATATTAATGGACTTTTCGATTGAATTTTCAACTTTGTAGACGTAATCTATACTTGATGAAAAATGTTCTTACGAAATTTCATAAAAAAATCCACCGGAAGCACTCCAAACGGCCATGGACGTACGGCACTCCTGGTCAACCCGGATTGATGAGACAATTTCTCTGTTAGAGCAATTACAAAAAACTAATTTTATAACACGTACTTCAATTTACATTTTAGGTATAGTAATTCAATTTATACACTTTTATTACGCTCATAGTAATTCAATTTACATTTTTATTATAAATAAGACTTATTTTAGTAATATTTTAGGATAAATGTCTAAACATGAATAATACAAGGGTCTATAATTTTGCCTAAATATATTTAATATGTGTAGACTGTAGAGGCATTTTGAAAATACAATCATGAAATTGAAAACCCCATAGATGTGATCGGAGTAGTGAGAACTTATTTTTCGTTTGGGTATGCACGTACCCTGAATTGCGGATGCATATATACCCTGCTCCTATCACAACTACTACTTCTCACTCACGACCTAGCAAAAAAAACCCTAAATAGGATTAACACATGTATAGATTTCATAAATCAGATCATCAATATTTTATTTTAAAAATGAAACTCATCCACTCCTATTTTGAGAACTTTTAATCAATTTATTCTTTCAATAGGAGTATAAGACTACATAAGTCGCACTACTATTTGAGAAATAAAACCTACTAGATCTTTTTTTTTGAACTTGTGTGTATGTTTTAGTGTTATATACTAACTTCATCCCAAAAAGGTTCATCATATTGACTTTTCTTAGTCAACGAAGATAAATTTTGGACAATGATTTTAATTATTATATTTGTATATAATTTATAAATTTTATACTTTTGTGAAAATATTGTAAATAAAGAACATTTTGATATAACTTTCATTTTCAAAATGATTTCGTATTAAAAAATATCACCAGTCAAAGTTGATTGTCTTTGATAAAGAAAAGTCAATTTGATGAACCTTTTCGATACGGAGGAGGGAGTATATTGAACCATTTCAATACCTTTTTTCTTTGATCCATAAAAGTTATGATAGTGTTACAAGTGAAATCAATTCAATTCAAGTAATTAGTTGATGAATTAATCATATGCACCGCAGCCTATAGATGACCTACAAAGAGGGCACGTTGACCGAGCAGTCAACCATCGACCAATACAATGCGAATGGAAAACATGCATACATTCCGGCATCACTTTAATGATCTCTTTATCCTCAAAAATTCCCAAACATATGCAACACTCATCGGTTCCTCCGAGACCCATTCTCGTATCATCGTCCAAACCCTCCGCCGCCGGTAACCCGTGAGTGAAGACCGGCAGGTTCTCGATGACCTCGACATCAACGCCAGACCAGGCAGGAGATGGCGGAGCCTCCACCGCCACCGTAACTCCACCGCCACCACCCGAGTGATCATCATGTCGAATAATGACGTTCAATCGTCGTCTCGTCGTGTTGAACTCCGGGACGTCATCGTCGTCGGCGGATAAAACATGCTTGCGAATGAAACGGACGAAGAGGAAAACAAGGAGGAAAAAGGAGAGTAGGAAGAAAAAGAATGTGAGAAAAAACAGCTTAACTCCACGGTCAGTGATGTACCAATGGAAGGGCTCAACTTCCTCCACCTCCATTTTTCTCTAGTCAAACTTAGTAGTAGTTTGAATTGATGATAAAGTCGAATATTGTATAGGCATGAGCTCTTATATACTTTGTATAAATATATAAATATTCATGTATATATATAAGTAAATTAAACTTACCCATATACTCCCTCTGTTCCAAAATGAATTTCACAGTCACTATTCACATGGTCAACTTAAATTACTCTTAATCTTATGTTTTATATATCAAATTTTTATCGAATTTATATTTTTTTTATCAGCCTTTGTAGCGGTTTTAATGTAATTTCTCAATATGTAAATTTTATTTACTAAAAGTAATCTGAGTATGAACAAGGATCAAGTTGCTTTATCATCGGTCAAGCATCGTAATCTGAAATGGGAAGTTCATTTTGGGACGGAGGTAGTACTACGTATGAAGTATGACTAATTAAGATAAGATACTTTAGAATGTGACATATATATACGACGTATGAAATATGAATACTAAAACACTGTTCTTAACATTAAAAAAACGTTAAACATGTAGTTCCAGGTGTGGTTCCAAAAAACATGACCGGTATATCATGTACTATCGTATGTAATCTGGGACGGAGGGAGTAATCTACTATATACGTAGTACTCCGTATATAGTTTCTGATTTTACATTTTAAATTGTACTCCCTCCGTCCCTTATAACTTCGCCAACTTTCCTTTTTCGGTTGTCCCAAAAACTTTGTCACTTTCCCTTTTAATCAATCAATTTGTGGCTCATGTTATTTCTCTCTCCTCTTCACAAATCTCTACCGCACAGTTTTTACTTTATTATTCTACGTGCCGGTCAAACTTGTCAATCCTTTTAGGGACGGAAGGATTAGTTTTTTAAACTTATAATTAAGGTACGTTGTTATTGAATTTGGAATCGATTAGGGCCCGACATGCTACGATTATGTGTAGTTTAAAGTTTATGATTGACGACTGGATTCAGAAAAAGAAAAGAAAAAAAGAGTTTCAATAACACCATGCATACATGGGGAAGACAATAAAATAGCAAAAAAGAATTGGGCAAGTTGTCAAAATAGGAGTAAAAAAGTTTGAAATTTCATAATGGGACTGTAATATTTTTATTCCAAAAATAGGACTAATTACTACCAATTCAGTTTGGAAAATACTGTCATGTTTAAAGTCTGATACTGCCAAAACATGACAGTAATTAGTCATATTTTAGAAATAAAAATATGATAGTCTTATTTTGGAATATACAAAAGTTTTTAGTCTTATTTAGAGTAATTTCCCAAAAGAAATTGATAGTCATATTTAGTAGGGAGGGTGCCTATGCCTATCTTTTTTTTCCATTATCGTGGCAGTTTTCTTTATACTCATTTGTAGTCTCGTACCCCAACTAAATTACACTTTGATAGTTCGATTATGATGTTTATAAATTAAAAATTATGGAGTAATATTCGAAGTAATCAATAACATGGAAGTATTTTCTTACACTTTGTTTTAATATGCATCATATAACTAGTATTTTAGGATTTTTTTTATACGCAGAAATAGTAAATATATATTCAAGTATATAATAATAAGATTAAAAAAATCAAAGTCCTAAGGATTTTGAGTTACATGTTTTTTAAAGTATTACCTAAAAAAAATTGTACACGAAAATGTGTGATTATAATTACTACTCCCTCCGTCCCTCTTATATTGTCCCATTTTACCTTTTCGGGAAGTCCCACTAAAATTGTCTCATTCCATATTTGGTAAAGTTTGTGTGGTTCTAAATCATTCTTACTTTATTCTTACTTTATCAATTAATATCAACCACACAACCACACTTTTCTTAATAATCGTGTCATTCTCTTCCGACCCAATATAAGAGGGACGAAGGTAGTACTACGTATGTGATATTCATGAATCATGATAATCATAGTATAAAATTGAATATAATGATAGTCATGGCACTACAAAAAAACACGGGATTGACAGAGTTTTTGGCAGAGATTTACCAAAATTGACAAGGATTTTGACAGAGATATGTCAAATTCGTGTCAAAAACAGTTTGACATGAGCTATTTGGTACAAAATCATTCGCAAATCCATGTCAAGTCTATGTTTATCCCGTGTTTTTTCTGTAGCGTGGGTGTCTGGGTGATATAGTCACAATATCTTAGAGTCACATTTTGTTGATTTAATTGATGAACGAATGTTGTAATACGTAGAAGGACGCACACAAGATTACCGGCCGGCCAGTATGGATCGGATATAAGAACTAACTTCAATTACGCACGTGCACGTAACTCGGCAAGATAATAATAAGATCAGTAATATGGGTATGTTCGTTGCTTTGTTGCCATATATGAATAGCAAGGCCAAGATCCAACAAACCATTTCCAGTTTATTAGGTGGTCGGGCTTGGGCTTCAACTTTTTACTTTACTTTTTGGGCCTGGAAGGATTTCACCTTTAGCACAGCATTAAAGATTTGTTGAAATGTTTTATTCAAAAAAAGCTAAGATTATATATAATTATATTACAAATTGAATCTCCAAGATAATGAAATATTGTACAATGGTAATTTGCTTTAGGAGCGTAAAGTTGGAAAAGTGCAATGAATAATTAATTGAATACAGTCTTGATGAGGGGTAAAAGGACAACAAATTATTGGGAACAAATTAAAAATTGAACAAATTCACATCATATTTAGGAATTAAGGGAGTAAAGGTGTTAGGTCGGTGGACATTTGAAGTTGAATTTAAAAAGCACACGGAATAAAAGAAGGCCACATATTCTACATTTCCATGCATTTGAATAACGTAAGCATGCTGGCCAGAATTGAAGTCCAGACCAATAGATAGAAAATCTTTTCTCCTGAGGGTGTGTTTGGGAGTTGAGTTTTGGAACGGAGGGGAAGGTTAATGGGGGTTTGTGACCCTCTTTTTCATGTTTGAGAGTTTAAAATTTGGAGGGGATGATTTTGGAGGGTTTTTGTATCCCTTCAAAACCCTCCAAATGCTTAATTTTTAAGTTCCCTCAATTTGGAGGGTTTTAGAGGATAATTAACAAGATGGTAATTTAATCTAGATTAAAAATGAATATCAGCTCAATGATTTGAATTCGTCATATCTGATGGTGATTTTAATTATAATTTTTTCAAAAACCCTCTTCTTCCAATTTTATTACTCCCAAATACAAAGAAGAGCTTTCTCACCCTCCCCTTCATTTCCCCTCCAACAACATACCTCCAAAATCTTCCCCTCCCCTTCCCTTCAAACTCTCAAACATACCTTAAGTTTATCCTTTTATCCTTTTCTCGCTTGTCACGAAAGTCAATTTCAACTAATTTCGAAGATTTTTATGAAATATCACATGGAATTATCATATGCATACCATAATGTAATGGTGTGACAAGATCTGTAGCAATAATTTTAACCTATGTGATGAGGTAAGATCCAAAAGCGCGACAAAATCTTTTGGCTTTCGTAGGAGTTTTTGAGTTGATTTAGTGAATGCTTTAGGCTATAAAGAAATAGGGATGAAGCAAGTAATCAGAGAGGCAAAGTAGATCAAGTTCTATTGAAGTCTTTACAACGATTACAACACTTATGCCGAATGAGCGATCTAACCCTCTAGATCAAGCTGAATGCTATAGAAGAAACTAGAGAAAAAATTATTGCTAAGAGTACAAAGTTGTTAACCTTTTACAAAGAAGTACATGATGTTATTTATACTAGGAAATAGTAGGTGGGGTGATGTGCTCAATCCTGAATGGATGAACCCCAACCATATAATCTTCCATGTATGATACATTAAATGCGCTTACGGTCAATTTTCAGGTTTCCCGCCAATTGTTTGGGTGAGTCTATCTTGGATGACTGTTGGATCAAGTACAGGAAGCCCATGTGATGGGAATGGGCCGAGCGGGACTACCCGTGCGGAACAGTCGAACGGCGTTCCTGGATTGACTAGATCGCGACAGGGCCGGTATGAAGATTGGGTCTTCTATGGTATTTGGGCTTGGTATCGGGCCTGGGCCAATATCCCAACACACTATGTATTCCATAACTAATATTTTGTCCATTTACTTTTATGAAACAACTCAATCTAACTAGATCTGTCATATCTTTATTTGTTCACGGATCCTAAAGTCGATCTTGATAATAAGATAGATGTCACTATGCAACTATCATTAAGAAAATAGAAATATACTTGTGTGTTGGAGGTCGGAATTGAGACTTATGATGCTAGTAGTGAGGCTAGATAGCTTTCAGTTAATTCGAATTTCGAAGCACCATTATTTACATCTGCAAACTTTTAATGTAATTTATGTGACTTAATTAGACTACTAAAAAATGATTTCAAATTTTCAATATGGAAATTATAAGATTTGAGTTACATATACTACGAAGATATATCATGGATCGATTCATGATATCATGGATCGATTCATGTTAGCCAATTCAGCCATTTTAGTGTTACCAAAGGATCTCGTAATGGTAATATTTTTTGAGTCCATTGGAAAAGAAAAGCATTTTTCTTATGCTACTTTATTAGACATAATCTTGATGTAATGACAATAGAAAAATTGTGAGTGACAATACCATAAGAGAAGGGTAAGCTATCGAAAAAGATTTCTAAAGCCCCAAACTCACCTGAGAATGCCAAGCCTAGCCTGGTACTGGTAGGTGATATATTGAAAAAACTTCATCCAAAAAGAGGCAATTGATCAAAAATACATTCTTTCCTTGACCTCATTTAGATGGATTGTTTTTTTTTAATAAAAAGGTGGAATCGCCCACCCAAGCCCCCCACACCGTGACCCGACAGAATGATGGAAGAGAGAGTCATGGTATGATCTCAAAAGATTTTTGAGTGTGATGGTTCAGGACATGGTGCACACAGGAGCCACCACATTGGATAAAACTTCCACATTGTTGTTGTCAGGGATTGAATCTGAGTCTATCTTGGATGACTGCTGGATTGAGTACAGGAAGCCCATGTGATGGGAATGGGCCGAGCGGGACTACCCGTGCGGAGCAGTCGAACGACATTCCTGGATTGACTAGATCGCGACTGGGTCTCTTATGGTATTTGGGCTTGGTACCGGGCCTG